CGCCCATTCCTGTCAGCCTTTTCAACCTCTATTGTGTTCCCAGAAATTGCCAGTAATGAAAACAGAGCAGAGCCAATCAAATTGTTGTATATACTACTGCACTGTGGGAGCTGGAAACCTTGCATTTAAAATGTCTTATGCATTATTCATATCCTATGTATGTTTATTTAAATTACCAAAAGACAGAAGAGTATACTAAAGCAGAATAAGAACTAATACAGTGATGTTAAAAATACGCCACTTAAATTGTACCTTAGCAGGGATATACACATGTAGACATACCTATATACATATATGTGTCCCTTCTAGACCTCCTAGTTAAAATGAGTGCAGTCGCATGTCATATTCTCTATGGAAAATAAATATACTTTCTGTCTTCTAGGACAGACACATTTTTCAACATTTATATTGGAGCAAGTACACAAATACAAAATAAAGTAAGCCTTTCAGTTATTCAGAAGGGTATTGGGAAGATCTGGTAGTCCTACTTTTACGTAAATTATACATTAAAACTCCATGAGGGATACATGCTGGAACAGTCACTTGAAAACTTACAAAAATAGAAAAAAAATCTTAAACCTACTCTTTCCAACAAACACGGCACATTTCTAGGTCAAGGCTGCTCTTTCCATCTATTTACATTAGCTATTATCAAGGGACAAATACCATCTTCTAAAAGGAAGAATTTTAGGGAAGATCACATTCATTACTCAAATGCAGGCAAAGATTAAAATGTTAATGTCATTCAGAGATTATGAGTGAAAAGAGGAGGAGGAGCATTTATGTAAAAGAGCTTTCTACTTCAAAGTAGACTCTGAAGCCCTCTGCAGTTAAGAAGCACACATAGCACAAATAAATTGATGCTCTCGTATTCAAATATTTGCATACAAAATTTAGTAACTTTCTTTTAATGTGTTTAAATTTTACATTACATTATTTTGAAACATATAGCTTACTTACATGCTGTGTATTATACATGTTATGCAATATTAATGAATTTTACACATAATACATTAAATGAATGTTACATTATGTGAAATCATTGTCCTTTTCATTCTTTAAATAAAACTGCTGCTTGACCTAAACTCAGAGATTAACTTACTGACTACAGATGCACAATTACATTTTGAGTGTGAGCAAGAAATTGTTTTCCTCATCTGTATTGCAATTTTCCCTTAATGCATTATAACAAAACTAACACCTTTTGGAATAATGCAGATCTGCAACATGCACCTCATATAATCTGCATGCCTTCAAAAACATGGGTATCTTGAGTAATGAGGTATTCCACACAAACCAGAGACAGAAACAGGGCTGTCAGGATCTGCAGCAGCTGGTCGGTACCCATACTTAGCGGGCGTCCCCGCGGAGCAACACAGTCTCGATGGTAGGATGAGTATCGCTCAACTCAGCAGCCCCGACACCCCATTTTATCAGTTCCACATTACACTACATAGGGCCAGTATGTAGTATAAGGTGATGCTTGAGTGGCAGCCAAACACCGCCTGTTCATTACCTAATGCCAACAGTCTGCACATGCCCTACTGTAGGGCAAGGGGCGAGCAACCCCTGCCCACATAATCTTCCTCCCATCATCATCTTTCTCACCCCTATGTATGACCTCTACCATTGTGTTTCAAGGGTAGATGTATCCATCTTGCAGTATATAGCAAAACCAAGGAAGAACTCAGCTCTGATAATAGGGGATATCAGGCTGACTTGCTAAAAAGCACAACGGACCTTACAATTAGCCTGTGCCATGAAGTTACATTGTACCATACTCTAGCTGGTTTCACATCCTAATATGATTCCTTTCTCACGCCTCTATGCTCCATTGATCATCTAATTCAAAAGTACCCCCCTTACATGTACAGACATAAACCTTGCATTGCAACTTAAGTTGTGGTCAGTAAACACTTGGTGAGACAGCAACTGAAGGACAGTTTAGGGCTCATATTCCAAGTTCTACCATAAGACTTGGGAGAGTTAGAGCCAGATACTATAGCTTAGTCAAAATTGGAGGATGTAGGTAGGTCAAACCACATGAGCAATGGCACTACAACAATGTATGCACTTGCTGCACTGCCATTGACTGAAAGAATGCTAAAACAATGAAAAGGTGTTTCTAAACACTGAGAAAGACAAAAATACCTAAAATTATCAGGGTGGTTAGAGGTGATTTGTGAGATTGTTCATGAAAATATCTTTCTCAGATGTATACTAAGTGGTAACATAAAAATGGAATTACTGGAAAATGCCAGCAAATATTGTGCAAACTGTGCTTCCATGGGCATGAAGCTGCAGATGATTTTTATACAGCATATTTGGAAATAAAGCAATGAAGTCCTGATATGGAAATGAAGTCTTGAACATAGGACTTCACAAACATCAGACATTCCTGCTACAAATTTTACTGGCTCTGGCAAATAAATGCTGCCACTTATAGATCAAAGGCAGCATTGCAACTGTTATGTTTTCATTGTAAAATTCTAAAAGTACTTGGTTTTCTTTTTAATGGGATTAGAACTACGAACTTCAAGATCACAAGACAATAGTTCATCAAATAAACTAAAGGAACACGTTTTCAGTTTATGATGTGAAGAAGCCCATATTTTCAATCAGACTTCCAGGATTTTGGGGAATGAGAAATTGTGCAGTGAAAGGATAAAAGTCTTCAGGGACTTAATATTCTGAACAAACAATATGTACATGAATCTTGTTATGTAAACAATATTAACATAGTAACTGCCTCTGCCTGCACTGAAATGCTGTGAAGAAATCACTTCCAGGTTTCTGTACAGAAATATCCTGTTTGAAATCTGATGATATTTTTTACAAAACACTGACTATTTCAAATCATATTTGGGAAAGTATCCTTGGATGCAGTAATACTGATGCTACATCAAGAAAAACATACAAAATTTAACTTTTAAAATAAAATTATTCTATGATTGCTAAGTTAAATTCAGAACAACTAGGTATTTCCAGGGAGATAAACAAAACAGACTAAACGAGAGCATGATCCTGGATACTATGGGCACAGAAATCTGAGACGCAATGTGTTATGTGGATCTGGACGCAATGTGGATACTAGATGATATTTGTTGGCTTATATTTGACAGCAAAGAAGTGTTAGTATTGGCATATAGAACTGAGACTACAGAGATCAATAATTCTGCTTCTAGCAATAGTCAAGATGGATGGGAGAACTGCGAATACAAAAAAAATTAAAAAGCTACTTCTAGATTTTGCCAGGGCCAAATCTTCCTAATTTCCCCAAGTAAATGACTCAGGTGTCCCAGCTGCTAAATATTCACAGTCTCGTTTTGTATCGACAGGGACAAAAGCAGCAAGCATGAAGCAAGAAAAGTTTTTGTGGTCCTTTGAGGGGGAAGGACAAACTTAACAAGCATAGCTATGCCCTTCTGGCTGCCACAACCACCACTGCTGATGATGAAAGAGGTAGTCTTTAGGCAACGGTGTTATGCAGGAGCCCAGCAAAAATTAGGGAACACAGTCATTTTCAGCCAGAGGATCACAACAGTGCTTTAAGGACATATGCTTTTTCCTCAGGGATAAACTAAATATAATTTTGAAAACTATAATTTATTCCTCCTGGATTATATAGAATACTACCTACTTTGACAATGAGTCTTCACAATTCCATGTTTCAGGGATTAATTTTGAATACAGAGATGGCATCTATCACACCTCTCTATTAAAGAATGTTATTCCTTACAGTATCTCCTGAATATGAGTACTTTATTAACATGCACACAACTGTACCTGGAGGAGTGGAATGACCAAGAACACTGCTCTCCTATCTTTCAACATATAAGAGGTAACCTTGTGCCTTCCGTTCACATTAATTTGGGGATAAAGAACAGTAGCTTCAATAGAAGCAATCTGCAATACCATAACCACAATTCAGACAATGTTACTTCAATCCAAGGAGAAATAATTGCTTCCCTTTTCTTGTCTCATTGATTTTGAAGGGTGTTTTGTCCATTTGTTTTCAAACAGCATTTTAATAGAAATGTGATACTGATTAACAATATCAATACTCCTAACTACAGCCACTCCAAATGACAGAACTGGCATGGACGGGTCAAACAAATTTGACATGGATTTGGTTGAAATCTGCTGAATATTGGTGTCCAGTCCCATATAAGATGCTGTGGGTTATCCCAACCCAGCAGATGGAATCCGGTGGCAGGTGCTAGGGAAACCTGTTTCATCCTTCTTGTCTCTGGATGGGACAGAGTTGCTCCTGAGATCCCTTCAAGGAGGGGTGGGGATAAAATCTGGTCATGTATTGTGAATCCGTAAGGAAATCTTACAATCTGGGGAGTCTGGGAATAATTACTGCAGTCCACAGTGCAGTAATAGAAATGCTCCTGGAAAAAGCTCCAGGCATGGCTGAGTTCATTGTATCTAAAGAAAGTGTTTTTAGCATACTTAATTACCAAAACACTATGTCAGCAGTTATGTCAATCACATTAAAACACAGAATGATTGCATGGCAGCAGAAATCACACCTTTGATTTGAATTAGGTTTGTATCAGCCAACACTTTTGTTACATAGAACTTAAATTCCATTAAGCTGTGCTTTATTCACAGGACCAGTAAAACATAAATTCTGTAATAAAACCATTACAACACACATCTTTTTTAAATCCTCCTTGTGACAGACATGGAGGATATGCAAGACGCTGACTAGGTTTTTCACATTTTTTTCTTCTGAAAATATGATAAAAAGACTTACCCTTTCTTGCTTGAGTAATGCCTGGTCAGCCTTTCACTCGTGAGTCCTCTCTAAGCATCATCCCAGTACTTTCTCAGAAGTTTTTCCATCATCATGGCTGCAGCAGCATTACCTGGGGAAGGCAGCACTATCAAGATGGCCCTGGGGCTCCAGGGGCCCTTGGCTGACACTTTGGCATTTTGAGAAAGGGAAATACCCCAGGAGAAGGGGGAGGAAGCAGCACCCAGAGACTGTGTCAAGAAAATAGAAATTTATTTTCTTTTCCTTGCATGAAGACTTGCTGCAGCCCTGTTACTGCTGATTGTGGTGAGGTCTCTTGCCGCAGTGGGTGCTATCTGGGGACCCAGGGCTCCTCCTCTTTCGGAGATGCCGGGACGTTGTGGGTAAGTGGTCCCTGCCCTGGCCAGAAGTAGAGGGGCTCTGGCTGCTCTCCTGGGCAGAGGGACCTGTGGCTGCTGTCATCTCCCCCTGCTCCTCCTGGGGCTGCGGCTGCTGTGCAGGAATGGACTCAGATGGGGGGCAGCTGGGTTGCCCCTCAGTGGCAGCTTCCAGTGTGCCGGCTTCCTCCTCCATACCGGAATCTGTGATGCCACTGGTGGGGGCCTGGTTGAGGGTGGGATTAGCCCCCTGGGAAGCCGTGGGGCCAGAGATGGCCACAGGGATCTCATCCTCCTCCCTGGCAGAGCGGGAGTGCCGTAGCCTCCGGACCTCCTCACTGCACTGGGTCGCAATGATATTGAGGATGCCATGGACCAGTGGTGCAGTGTATTGCTGGAGGCGAGGCTCCAGTCTTTGGATCAAAACCTCCCTGTCTGGACCATAGACACAGAGGGCGAGCAGGATGCCACTCTCTGCACTCTTTACCTGCCACCACTCGCCCCCATATATCATCTCCAGCCCCTGGCACAGCCAGGGCCGCACAGGGTCCAGGAGGTTCCGTCGCCTTCGGAAAAGTTCTGCCCAGAGCTCAGGCAGGATGCCACCCACGGCTTCTGGCCCTGCAGCCTCCTGCTCAGTGGGGGCTGTTATACCATGTGGAGAAGAGGCAGGGGATGCTGGAGAGCCATGGGGGTTGTTTTCAGCCAGGCCTCCAGGAGCTTCTCCTGCCTGGCTGTTGGTTGCTGGTGACCCTCTTGGAGGCGTGATGACACAGTGTAGGTAGTTGTCTCCGCCATGGTCAGAAAACTTGACAGTCAAGATGGATCTTCTGCAGAGTGGGCAGGCAGGATTTCTTTCTGCCCAGCGCAGGATGCAGCCCAGGCAGAAACGGTGGCCACAGGGCATCGCGTGAGCAAGATCATCTGGAGCATCACAGCAGATGGGGCAGCTCCACTCCTTCCCTGTGGCCATGTCTGCTTGTTCCCACAGGCTGGCCCAGGCTCTGACAGCATCTGAGTTTATAGACTGAGGGATGTGAGGTCACAATCCATCTCCCAGTAACTCCGTAACCACTGCCAGGATTATGATTATTACTAGGATTACTAGGATTGCTATCACCTCCACCACTCAGTGATGTCACAGTGGGATGTCCATCCCCTGCAGCTCTTGGGAAAACACTGCAAGTGGAGGCTGTCCTCTACAGGAGTCTCTGTTCCCCCCCCAGAGAGAAAGGCACTACCAAACTATGAGATCTGAGCTAATGGATACATGGCTGTGGAAAAATAGCAAGGTTGCAAGTTGCTTCATCACCAAACATCAGAAATTCAGCACATGAGAGTGCAGGAAACAAGAAAAGTTTCAGACAGCACCGTGAGGAATGGCTGAGGAATGACTGTGAGGAAAAGGGCCATTGGAGTGGAGCTGTTTGTTTTCATTGGATGCAGGACTGAAGAAAGTGAAGTGTAAAGACATCTGGGACAGAAAAGAAAGACAGAGCCAAGGCCTTTGGTGATTGTCATGATATACCAACGTCAAGTAGAAGACAAGAGTGAGAAGAGAGAGTGGGAAGTGGTGCTGAGAGAGAAGAGAGAGTGGAAAGCCCCAGACATGTGTGCAGAGGCACGACAGAATGCAGGGACAGACACCTCTTCATGACATCACTGAGTGGAGGAGGGTGGTGTCACAGCGTGGTGGATTGTGACACTCCAAAGCCTGGCTCTCCAGCAATACTGACCTGTCTCATGTTATCTGCTGCTGGCCCTCCTCAGAAACGACATCTATGAAGCTTCTTGTGTTTAGCCCAGCCTTCAGCAAGGATAAGAATTCTCTGAACTTCTCATCCCTCAACTTTTCTACTTCAATATAAAAAGAGCTTCTCTAAAGGGACAGACCAAATAATAAACAATTACTCCTATTTATTTAGAAAGCACATTTTTTAAAGAATGGTCAATGCGTTTTTATATTCCAAGCTCATTATTTGGATGCAAGAGCACCACATACCTTCTTATGTAGTGGATCCTCCCAGTCTGTGACTAAAAGAGATAATCAACTTACACACATAAAATAACCCTCATTCATCAGCAGACAAGATGCAGAGCTGCAGAAATGAGGGTGCAAATGATTCCCCCGCCTGTGCAGGGGATCTCAGTAGCCACTCTGTACCCTGGCCCTTACAAAAAGAAGGGTCCTCAGCCAGATAAGGAACGTGATTCTCCCTAGTTACTAACAGCAGTAAACTGCACATTTTTCCTTAAGGCATTGGGCAGAAATGGTGTAAGGTATTGCCAGGGCTTTCCTTTTCTTGCTTGAGGCTTCCTTTTCTTGCTCGTCAGCCTTTCACTCATGACCCCTCTCTAAGCATCACCCCAGTTCTTTCTCAGAAGCAATCCATGATGTGGAGAATTATGGCAGATGGGGTGGTTCCACTCCTGTTTGTTGTGGCACACTGGGGAGAGTTGAGAGTGAAGAGCTGCTCCTCCTTGCTGGTGTCACACGTGCAAGAAATGTCCAAACTCTTAGAAGGACACCATCCTGGCTCCTGGAGACCCAAATTCACCCCATGTCAATCCCCATGGAGTTATTTCTTTGCACAGCTCATCTGTGCTGCTACAAGCATCCTGTGGTAGCTGGCTGCCTGAACTAGGGGAAAACATTAATGGGGAAACAGAGGCGAAGGCTCTGGGATGGGCACTGGTAGCTGACAGTAGCCCCCAGTGCACCATGCACTTGATCAATCATCCAGACCCCATAGGTACTCTTTGTAGGAGTCCAGGAGGCTCATGCAAGGCTATGAACACTCATCCTCACTGTCGTCGGAGATTATGAATAAAGAGGTTCAGAGGCATTTCTAACATAACATGACACATTTCAAACTTCACTGAAATTAAAGAAAACTTGCTCTCTAATCTGAAGTATTTGATGCTAAGGTTGTTCAGAGATCTTTTTTGAGAAGTGGCTTTTCCCTCTTCATGTGTGAATTCAAAGCCAAAAATATTTTTGTCTTATTTTTTAAATTATTAAATAAAAAAAGGTTTTACTAGTGATCTATAAGGATTCAGATTTTGTTGTATAAAATCACTAAGAGGACTGCAGATCTCCAAATGCTAAGCATCAGCCTAAATCCAGAGAAGTTGTAGATGCACTTTCAATTTTTTTCCCAGGTTTTTACCAGTTCTGGATATGATGGAGAAATGTCCAGACTCTTGAGATTAGCTGAATATTTTGCATTGTTTAAAAAGCTGAGCTGCAGTGCTGTGACCGTCTGCTGTGTTTACTGCCATGTTACCTCAGATGGCTTTATCTTAGTTCACTCTCATTACTAGACCACGTAGATTTCTATCAATAGCAATTGATACGTTTAGCCACTGTATTCATTTAAACATGCAGTAGTATTTGCTTTGTATTAGTCTCTAAAGAACAGGTCTAATCAAAATGCCCATGTATGTTGGTACGAAGCAGCCAGTGACCTGCGAATTTATTGAAGAAGGTCAGCAGTTAATGCCATGTCCATGCCATGACTTAATATATAAGGAGTACCCAGGATTTATTGGAAGAAGTGAGAAGGAACCATGCAAAGCATGAAGCATTGATTTAGAAATCGATCTGTGATTTTCTAATTATTTAATCATTATTGTGAAATTTACAATAATTTCATTGTTCCTGGTTTAATAATACAACAAGAGTAAACGTAGTTAATGCCAAGTGGAAAGCCAGCTCTCCACATATTACAAAGTATTCCTGTGTCACATGTTAAGGCCTATGCTCAAGAAGATATGGCACAACTAATTTTACTCTGTCTTTTCTGAACTTACAGTATACGTTTGATGTTTTTTAGAAATAATTCTGAAACTGTTAATTATTTGATGTTAAGAAGAAGAGAAAATACTTAAGAGACTAATGTCATGGTCCTGAGAATGCACTGCTAGCAATTCAGGGCCCTTCAGACATGGAGAGTCACAGACAACTTATCTCTTTCCCCAAGGCCAAAAGAAAACTGCAAATCCTCTTGGGAACCATTTATATTTCTGATAATATTTCTTCTCAACCACTCTGTTGGGACTGATAAGGATTTCTTTCCTACGAAAACTCTAGAATGAGGAGAATCTATTCCACAATATTCATTGCAATCCAAGAGTTCTCTAGGAATGTCATGGTACAGGCTGCTGAAGCCCTTTGCCCTGCTTGCCCCTCTAAACTTCTCCTCCTCCTTGTCACCAAAGAAGAGCTTAGCATTACAAAAAGTGACAGCGAACATGAGGCAGCACAGTTCAATTTCAAGATTTGCAAAGGCATTTTCATAAGGCAGTCTTTCTGCGACACAACCCCTCTTTCCATCATGAAAGATACTTTTGAGTAACAAGAAGGAAGATCTATTCCATTTCTTGCAGCCTCCTATGTTCTCAGGTCAGTGGTTAGGTCAGGAAATCTTGTATGCACAGCTAGTAGTTATTTAACCATCAGAAAATTACTCCCTGATAGGCAAAAATAACAGTGTATTCTGACTAATGGATCAGAACCATCCTCTTCATGAGAGATTTCATATCATCCAATTTGCCTGACAATTTTGGTGCATCTATTTCTCAAATTTCTCATTCATTTTCTTCATATCTTTACAATGAAGCTATAAAAGCATTTGCCAGCCTTCTTCAGATTCTTTCATGTTGTACTTATTTCAGGCATTTTAGTTTAACAGAGATCTAGTTCCTTCTTTTCAGTATATCCTACAGACAAGAAAGAAGAAAATGTTCTGTCAAATTTAATGCAATGAAGAAGTCTAAACGTAAGAAAAAAACCCATAGCTAAACACATTTATACAACACTGAACTCTTTGAAGAGCTACTTCCATAAATCCAGCGAAGAACAAGTTCCACAGTGCCACAGAGCAGAACAGAAACAATGTAATTCCCACACAACACACAGATGACCTAGGTAATAAGGAACAACGTAGAAAGAGTAAATTTCACAAACTACGAAATACTGACTGCCAAACTGTATGCATTTAAGAAAGGAGTTTCGATTCTCCTGGGTCCACAGTCAGCACAGAGAACTTTCTTAACTGTACATAATTTTATTTCATTTATTTAAAATTATAAAGAATCACTTTCCTCTGTAATAATTGCTAGTGGAAGAGATGATGAATTCCTATCCCTGTCTCTAAGTTCACTTTGTACCAACAGCTTAGTGAAAACAGCAACTTCTTCATACAAAAAAGAGAACTTTTCTTATTATGGTCTAAGACCCACTTTTCAATTTTTGGATGTCTCCAGTTGCCATGGCTTGCTGCAATTCTATCAGGTACTAAAGATTCAGAATCAGATGCATAGCATCAAACTCCATTATCTGCAGCATTTAGACCAGAGGACGAAAAGTCACATGAGAGAAAGGATTGGCACACCACACTTTCATATGTGCAGTGCTCACATGTAAAGGCTTCTTAGTATGCCATAGCCAAATGCACATACTGTAATCACACAAAGTAACTTTAATTTTCAGTATTTGCATGTCTTAGGACAGGAGAGAGAGCTCATGGAGGCTGTACGTACAGAGTCAATGCGACTGAGAAATCTTTAGTAAAAGCAGCTCATCTTCATACTTTCCAATCACTGTGCAATGACGTAGCAATTTGAAGTAAGGTCCAGCTGCAAATAACCCTGAAATTTTGGGGGATTCACATCAAACCTTACCTTTGCAAGAACCTTTTTTCTTTATGTTAAAGTGAACTAAAACCCCAGATCTGAGCACTACATTCTGGTAAAATTCAGGTCCAGACCTGCATCTCAAATTGCATCTCAGATTTGTTTACATGTTACTTTGGTTTTTCATGATCATAAGCCTTTTGTAAGACACTTAAATGTCATAATTGTCATAACTGTTAAGATCGCTGAAGGACTTTGTCCACTCTCGCAAACTATATAAAGAAGCTGAGACCACCAAAGCCCACCCCTCCAAATATGCCTCCCAGATTCCAGGAATTTGTACCATGAGCTAAGCCAGCTGATGGGAATCAAGATAAGATAAAGATAACTATTGCCAGTTATCTCAGGTCTAAGAAGAAGTAAATCAGGCTGGGGGAGAAGAAC